CTGGCAGATGCACAGGGACGATGCTGACTGGCACCGCTGCAGAGCCGAGCGCTGCCCAGAACCTGGAGCTGCCCCCTGCCCACAGCTCCTCCTGCTCTGTGCCCATCCTCTGCCTGAAAAGCTCTGCCAAAACTCTTGTCTGAGGCAAGAAGGAGGTGAGGAAGGTTCCTGGAGAGATGAGGAGGTGGGCAGGAACTGTCTGTTCCTAGGGAGAGGAGCAGCCTGTGCTGTGCCCTGCTGCCCTGGGCAGGGCAGCGTGCCTGGCTCTTCACTGCAGCCATCTGCAAGTCCCCACACGGCTGCTTTTTACAGAACTCATTTCTCCTGGGGGGAATTGCACTGCTGTGTGCTTGGGAAGCAGCCTGGGGACCTGGTCCAAATGTCCTCAGTGCTAATGTCACTGCCTGGTTAGGGAGAGTGTCTGTGTGTGAGTTTGTGGGTTCAGCTGCACCCTGAAGCCAGGCTATTTTTGCCATATATTCCTCTGAACATCGTGGCAGGACAAGCTTGCTGTCTGGAGCCTTGATCTGAAATGCACTGGAGGCTGTGACTGAGGGCCCCAGGCAGGCTGTGCTGGAGCTGGTGACATGTGACATCAGACCACACTGTTGGAGTCACCTTGGGGATCAGGGCACCCACCCTTCCTGCTGTGCCAGGAAAGGTGCTTGGCAGAGGTTTTCTCTCCTTGCTGAGCCTGGCACACAGCAAAAAGAAATTATAAAGATTGTATTTTATTGTATTGTATTATTAGAGGCACAAGTGAGCACAGCAGGGTAAAACCAGATCGTGTTTAGCTGGTTAACCAGTGAGCAGCACAGCTCTCTGCTCCTGGGGGTTACCCCTACTGCTCCCCCAGAGAACAATTTCTTGCATGGCCCTCTGACACTGATTTGGGTCTTGTATTTCAGGGTTATTTGTTACAAGAAGGTTTGCAGTGGTCTAGTAGCACCCCTGTTTCCCTTAATTTAGCCACTCTGAATCTTGGCAAATTCAGAAAGCCAGGCTGGGCTCTGCACGGGGGTTTGGAACAAGCTGCCCAGAGAAGTCAGTCAGGAAAAGCAGAGACCTGAAGATATGCTCAGGTGCCTCTCCTCTCTCCTTGCCTGCTCTCTTGGAGGTGTTGGAAAAATGAGAAAAACCTCTCATGCTAACACAAGCATCCATCATGAAATTGTTTGTGCTTTTTCCAGAAGGTGGGGAATCTATACTTGGCTGCTTGTGGCTTTTTTTTTGGAGAGGGGAAAGTGGATTTTTGCAAGGGATAGAGTTGCAGGATGAATGTGGGCACTTAATGGCTTTAACTCTGCTTCAGCAGACAAAAAAATTGGTTTGGAAACTTCCCATACTTGGGGGAATAACTAAAATTTTTCCTAATCTTAGTTGTTTTCCTAATTTATTTTATTTTAATCGTGGAAGCAGACAAAGCTGTTATTTACAGCCCTCACAGAAAGGACATTTCCCTGGATGATCAGTTTGAGGGTGTGCATGGTGCTGCTCCCCAGTCATCGTGCCTTTCTCAATCTTCATTTGTCTCCTGTGGAGATGCAATCCTAGGGCCAGGCTGCTCTTCTGTGGATCTTAATTATTTCATGGGGGCAGCACAAAGTGCTCTGGACACTCATAATGCTCTTCCCAACTTGCAGCCTCCATAGAAACCCACGAGCTGGAGGAAGGCCAGGCAGCTACTCCAGTGCCTCCTGGCACAGCTCGCTCACCCAGGAGTGGGAAAGAAATAATCATGCTGCTAATTGGCATAATTATGTCAATAACTCCCAGGCTCCCAAGCAGACAGAAATGATGGCAAGGCTTTTCCCAGAGGCTGTGATCTGACTGCAGCAGTGAGGAGAAGCCGTCTCTGCCTCGTGCCGATTCAAATCCATCTGTGCTGATTCAAACCCCTCACTTGTTTCCAGAGTTACAGGTTTCTCCGCTGTAGAGTAATTTTTCACACTTATTGAGAGCTCTGGCCAAGAAGTTTTGATAATCCTCCAGATCGTTAGTCCCCGTCAGCCTGTGGGATGTTCCCAGCTCCCTTTGTTTTGCTTGTCCCGCTGAGCGGGGCCAGTGTCTGCTCCAATAGAGAGGGGAACTTTTATCCCTGCACGGCTCCAAAGCCTGCATTTGGATATTTTCATGATGTGCCTGCTGCCAGTAATCGCAGCTAAATCTCATCTCTGTTGTGTGCCTGAGCTTTTAGCTCAGCCTCAGCGTGCGCTGTGAATTGAACCCGCTGCAGTGACAGGCTGGCACCTCGATGTCCCTCCCCAAATGCCCCTGAGCATCACCTGCTGCCTGCCCTGCCGGCTCCAGCTCCTCCTCCCGAGCCTGGCAGAGCTCCTGCCTGTGCCTGGGCATGGCTCAGCCCTTCCCAGTGCTCAGCTGGGGCTCCCAGGGGAGTGGTGCTCTCATGGCCAGCACATAACTCGGGGTTTAGCTGCTCAGAGTGACCCCAAGATGTGTTAAATTCTCTTTTCCCAGCCTGGCAGTTGAAGAAGGAGTCAGAGCTCTTCATTTCTCAGTTTCAAGGTTGTTTATTGTTTCTTATCTATAAAATTCTTATCTATAAAATTCTTATCTACAAAATTCTTTCTCCTGTCCAGCCGAGGTCCACTCACCAAGACAGTCCAGGCACTCTGCCTCCCCCTGGGGTGGTGTTATATTTTTATACTAAAAACCACGTGTGCAATATCTACCATAACTTCCCAATACCTATCACCTATGTCAGACAGTGAGCTGCTACTCTAAACCAATCCAAAAGTGCCAACATCACAGCAGAAGATGGAGGCCAAGAAGAAGAAGGAGAAAGGCTGGACATGCCCAGATTGCTCCATGTTGCCTCCTGAACCCCCATTCTAAAAACCCCAAAAATGTATTTTTCACCTCGTGACACACTAATTATTATTCTACTTAGACTTTTGTGGCTTGCAGATCCTCATATAAAGTTGGTAATTTGCTCCATGGGTCATAATCAAAGGCACAGGGGTCTTGGGCTCTGTGCCAGGGTCTCTGAGCCCCCTGGCAGGGTCCTGGCAATCCAGGACAGCCAGAGGGATGTCCTGAGTTCCAACACACACAGACCTGGCTGAACCGTGCTCCTGGTGTCCAAGTGTCCCAGCACTGGGGTGGCCTTGTCCTCAGGCAGGAACATGTGATAAATGTTATACAATAATTTGTGCTAAAGGAAATTACAACCACAGCACCTTGTGCTGGACAAATAAAGAAGGGAGATTCAAACACCAGGAGGGCACTGTCTCCTGGGATGTATATTTCAGGGGATTTCTTTCCATCTCACAAGATCCCAGCAGGAGGCCTTTGATAGCCATCATCAGAAGTTTATGCCAGGAAGTTTTCACCTGACAGAGTTGTCACAGACATATTTTATGAAAAATCCTTTTGCTAGGATTTTTCTCCTGAGAAGCTGAGAAGCCTCAGAGGAAAAGAATAACAATGATTTTCTGCTGCTGTGGAATGCAACAGGTGCATCTTTGATTGGTCCATATTGGTTGTTTTTAATTAATGGCCAATCACAGCCCAGCTGGCTTGGACTCTCTGGTCAGTCACAAGATTTTATTATCATTCCATTCCTTTTCTATTCCTTTCAAGCCTTCTGATGAAATCCTTTCTTTTAGTATAGTTTTAATATAATATATATAATAAAATAATAAACCAGCCTTCTGAAACATGGAGTCAAGATTCTTGTCTCTTCCCTCATCCTGGGACCCCTGCAAACACAACCACACAGGATTTCAGGAATTATCCACTGGTTCCAGGAAACACAGCAGCAAGAGAGAAAAACTATGATAATAGGCTAAAATATGCTAAAGAAGGGCCCCCTTCCAGAGCCCAAAGAACTGTATAAAACAGACCCCTTAGAAATTACATTTTGGAGACCCACAGGGACTTTGGTGCAATAGAGACCAAATCCTGAATCTCCCCAACACTGAGTCGACACGCTTGTGGCTTTTCGTAAATTTATACTTTGATAATTTAATAAATTTCCTTCATTATGAAATTGGAGTATTCATTTATAACAAACAGAATCCCAGAATGGGTCAGGTTGTCAGGGAACACATCTGGTCCAATGTTCCAGCTCAAGCAGGGTCATCCCAGAGCACAGGCACAGGATTGTGTCCAGCTGGCTCTGGGATATCTCCAGTGAGAGAGACTCCACAGCCTCTCTGGGCAATCTGTGAGAAAGCAATCCCTAACAAGCAAGCTCTAAGTGATGTCCAGATGGTAGAAAGACAAATTAGATTGTAGAATTGCCTTGTTAAGGTTTAGGGCTTGACATGTTTCAGTGATCTCAGACCTAGGGGGAGGTTACCAAAGGGAAGAAGGGTGTACCACTCTTAGCTGACATAAAGAATGCAGAATTTAGGGGTACAGGCTGTTTGGCAGAACACCCAGGATAAGGAAGAAACTAATGAAAACAGCTGAGCAACTGTGCTGAAATCTGGCTGGGTAAGAGGTAATTCTGGCAGGGGCAAATTGTCACCACTGACTCACAGACCAAAACCCCACTAATTTAAGAGAAAGACTGAGCATGCAGACTAATTAGCACTGGAAGCAAGAGGATCATTAACCAACAGAAGACAGAACACTAAGTAATAAGCGAACTAGATAACTTGTAGCCAATAAACACCAACGCCTCGGTTTGTTAAAATCCACAAAAAGGGAAAACTTCTGCCAGTTGTCGCGCTGCCTTTGTGGAATTGCCACCCAGCCATTTTTCTTCGCAGAACTACAAACAAATCCAACCCCTTGACTCTGAGCGCGGATGGGCCTTTGGCACAACGGGGGGGAAGCAGATTTTGGGAGAATCGCGGGACAATCGTGGGACAATCGGGGACAATCCCGGGACAATCGCGGGACCGGCACCGGGACCCGCACCGGAGGGGGCGTGGCCGCCCCGCGGAGGCCCCGCCCCCGAGCCCGCGGAGGGAGTGGCGCATGCGCAGTGCGCCGGCCGTTACCTGTCAGCGGCGGCGGGCGGTGGAGGAGGCGGTGGCGGCGGCGGGATGGAGGGGCTCATCCCGCTCGTTAACCGGCTGCAGGATGCCTTCGCGGCGCTGGGCCAGAACTGCCTGCTCGACCTGCCGCAGATCGCGGTGGTGGGCGGGCAGAGCGCCGGCAAGAGCTCCGTGCTGGAGAACTGCGTCTCCAGGTGAGGGGCGGCGGGCACGACACCCCCGCGCTCTCCCCCCGCTCCCCCCGCACGGCCCGCGGCGCGCGCTGCTCCCAACGGCCGCGGCGCGCGCCCCCCTCAGAGCGGCCAGGGCGGGGGGGGCGATGTCGGGCGGGGATGGAGCAGGAGGCGTTTGGGGGACAGTTCGCGGCTCCGAGCCCACCGTGGGTGCTCGGTCCCCACCGAGGATGCTCGGTGTCCCTCCCCCCGCGGTGCCTCGGGGGTGGCGAGGCGGGCCCTGGCCCGGCAGAGCCCGTGATGCGATGTGCGCGATGCGGGGAAGCCGCCGCGGCTCCGCTGCGAGCGCGTTCGTGTGCCCGCTCCGTGTGTGCGTGTGTGTGTGTGGGGGTGACCGCTGCCTGAGAGGAACGAGGTGTTTAAAGCCCCAAATCCTAATTTCGGGGCGATGCTGCCTCTGGGCGCCTCATTCCTCCCATCCCACCGCGTATAAATTCGCCCCGTCCCGACGCGCCTGTGGGTATCCGAATCGCGCCGTCATTAAGGTTGGAAGAGCCCTCCAAGATCGTCAAGTGCAACATGCGCATCGTTTCTACCAAATCACTGACGGGAAAAGGGGGAGCCTGGCGATTCAGGCGGTGCTTTCTGACGGCCAGGCTGTGCCTCTGGAGCCATCCCGAGGTAAACATGGGCTTCACGTGCTGCTTGATGAAGTTCCTGCTGCGTTCGCCTCAAATAGCTGCGGGCTCCTGCAGGGAGGTGGTGCTCCCGCAGCCGAGCTGCGATCCTAGCCCGGATTATGGGGTCGAAATGCTGTTGTGTGTCGGTGATTGGGGGACTTCGATGCGTGGAGATCTTCACCGAAGGTAATATTAAATGCTGTGATACTCCACAACCTGGCCGTGTGCCAGGCTGCAATAGCTCTTGATACGCGATATAAAAATACTGTATAGTGGTTCTTCATCTCTCCTTCAGAACTGTGTTAAATGTCAGTTCTTCCTCTTCGTTCTCCTTGAAGACTGTAGTTAGCTATTGGTGTTGACAGTACTGGCAAGTCTCTCGAGTCCGGAAAACATAAATGAGATCCACAGAAAGCACAATTGCCTATCAAATTATTACTGTTTTCTTCAAACAAGTCCTTAAAAAGTATTTTGGTAACCTTTTGAGCTATGTGCCCACAAAGCTGTGCGAAGCACATGTGCTGAGGGGAAAAAGCACCTTCATTTTTCAATGGTCAATGAGGCTATTTTGGTGGCTGAGTGAGGTGGGCTGATGTCGGTCTCTGGATCCAGCTGTGCCGATGGAAGATCATGCTGCTCCCAGATGCTCGTCGCTGCTGGGCTGCCCGAGGGATGTGCTCCATCTGATCCGCAGGTGGAGCTGTTCTTTTGAGCCGCCTGTATGTGCCCGGTGGAGCAAAAGGTGAAAAGGAGCAGTTTGTGCTGCTCTGGTCTGTTTGGCCAGGAGGCTGCAATCAGCTGCACGAGTGAGCTGTGGGCACTTCTAGCAGGACTTAGGAAGGAGAGCTAAGGGCAGGAACTTTTTTACTCGTGTAGTTATTCACTGTGCAGCCTGCAGACACTTCAGTCTCTTCAGAGAAGAGATTACAGGCTGCTATGAAACACCTGAATGTCTCTGTCACATGGGATTTGGAATTGGGATTCTTTCAGCCTGGTTTCAGAGTTCCACATCATTGTTTTATGCAGTAACTTCTTGAGATTCAGCATGAACTGATCTGTAGTACCTCCCTACTTGCACCTTAGAGCCTGTTGCAAAAATGACATTAAACTGCATTGTTTTAAACCTATTCCACAGGACTTGAGTGAGGATATTTTGCTTGTGCCTTTCCTTCAGGCTAAGTACGTGTGGTCAGCAGATGTGCCCTGGCTAAGCTGTGAAAACTTGGTTTTGAACCCTCAGAACCAGATTAATAAATATCCATGAGCTCAGAAGAGGATTTTGCTTGTTAGATCAGCAGACAAATGGCCTGTGTCTCTTTTTAGTAAGCCATAGGATATTCCTGTTTTTATGGGATAATGCAGCTGCTCTCTGCACACAAGTTTGTTTCATCCACATCTGTCTTAATATGGCTTGTAGAGGCAGAAAATCTCCCTGTAGAGCCATGCTGCCCTCATTTCTCTTTGTTACTGTTATATTGCATGACCTGTGGCAACCACAGAGCCAACTTTAACTAATGGTAACACAGCTTTGAAATTGACATGAAAATAAAACAATCCTTGCAAACTTGCTCTGAAGTTTGACCATTAGGTTCTCATGCCTTTTGTTTAGTTTTTTTTTTTGATTTGGGTTGTTTTGTGGTTGTGGGGTTTTATTTGTTGTTTTTTTCTTTTTTCTTTTTTTTTTACCACATGAATCATTATCATGAGTAGATTTTGAACTCAGCCTTCAGAGAGATATTGAAGAGCTCTTTTCTTCAGGAGTAGCTGTAATTGGTGTGAGGAAGGCACAATATCCTCCATGGGTGTTGCTAGGTGGTTGTATTGTCAGTGGAGCTGTGGTGAGGTTGGCAAGGCAGTTTAAACTCTAGGATCAGGTTGTTATTCCCTGCTCTCTGTAGCCCTACAGCACTGTGGGGGTTTCAGATTCCACAAAACCCCTGGTTGTGCAAAGATGACTTTTTTTTTTTGCACTTGGACAGTAGAAACTATTTTCTGACTTGCAGGTGGTATCATGAGTTAGAGCTTCTTTAAGGCTCCTTGGGCTGTGCAGGGTTATCCTCTGCCTCGTTTATGCACTGCCAGCACTTTTCCAGAAGGGTTGTGAGGAATCTGGTGTGGCACAGGGGTGTGGGCTGGGTGCTGCAGAATGAATGACACACATCCATCGCTGCCTCAGGGCCTGCTCAGGTGCACACAGGATCCTTAATGACCAGCAGCAGGCAGGGAATGTGCTGGGATCAGCTCACATGTGTTCTGCATAGATGGTGGTGTCGAGTGAGGATGGATTCTGCAGGAATTGTGGGACACCCAGAACTACTTGTCTCCTTGTAGCCAAGCTGGAATCAATGTGTCAGATCTCCCCAAGTGTGCATTGTTGTTTGGATTAGCATCCCCTGAGGAATGTGGAGAGTTTCCTCTTTGAGTACTGCTCCTCTGTGTGTAGGGAGACAGTTTCCTGTGGTAGGCAGGGACTGTGTGTGAAGGTTTTTCTCCCAGGATTCTGGCTACATTTAGATGCAGAGATTCTGGAGAGCACCTGAGGACAGCAGTCATTTCCATTTATGGGTAAGCCCTTCATGTGTTCATAACTGGAGCTCATGGTGTGTGTTTGAGGAAATGAAGTTGTCTGAAGAGCAAATGTTCTTCCCACCTCCTTCTGCTTCTCTTTGTAACAGGAGTAAATGTGCCCAGGAAATGTTGAGGCAGCATTGAAGCAAAGGATCTAATGCAGCCTTGTGGAAGGGGATGGTTGGAGGGTGATTCAAAAGCACAAAGGAGAGTGAAACAACGAATGCCAGAGAATTGCCAGTGGGAAAAGGTACTCAGCCTCTCAGTGCTGTGCTCCTGAGCAGTGCAGGGCCAGGAGCCTGGATGCTGTTTGTGCTTTTCAAACAGGCTTTTGATAATAATTAGGTTATTTAAAAGAAAACTACTGGCAGGAAGCAATCCCTGTAAACTGTGTTTGGAGAGAAAGCACTTTCTATTATTTCATCTGTAGCCAAATGGGTTTTTCAGATAACTGAAGGCACAAACAGCAAGCTGCCTTGTCAGAGCCTCCTTCTTCAGAAATCAGAACCTTGTTTTACCCTTAAAAATAGCAAGGAATTAATAATTAGGTTTCCAGCTTGAAGGCTCTTCACTTCCCTTCCTGCCTAATATAATCCAAACTGCATGAGGCCAAATAATTGTTTTATAAGAGATGTGAACCCTTGATTGTAAGCCTGTCAGTCACCATCAAACAGGCACTTTCGTTTTAAGAGCCCCAGGTCTGATTGTGTAATTCAGCTTTACAGCTTTTTGATCTGAGATGCTTTTGACAATCTTAAGGCCACTGCATGTAAGTAGAGCTATTTATTATGACATATGTAGTGATTATTTCTTTTTGAAATTACTGTTCCTCGTGTGCTCAGCTCATTCTGTTCTGCTTGAGATGGAGGTTGTGAAAAGACTGTGTTGAGTCATTAGGAGAAGAGAAGGGACTTTAACTCTGGCTGCTAGAGCAGAAAATTTCTCTGAAGAATGTAGACACATATTTAGATTGATGCTTCCTGGGGGAGATGTATTAAGATTGGTGCAGGTATTTTATTCTTTTAGTTACTAGGCATTGACAGAAAAACTTTTTGACAGAAAATCTCCTCTTTTGTGAAGCAGGCAGGAAAAAGCTAAGCAGTCAAGCTGAATACAAACTGAGATGTGGTGCTGTGTACTCTTTTTTAATCTTAAGGATCTTCTGGAAATGAGAGTCAGCCACTCCTTTTCCTGACTAATTAAGACATAGTACAGCTTGGAGTACACTATTGAGTATATTAGCCTAGTTATCAAAATGGTGTGGTGCAATGAAAGCAGGGATGTTCTGGGTATTTAATTTATTAGAAACAGCAGCAAATGAGACAGTTCATTTGGGTTTCTTCTTGCATTTATACATTGAAAAACAAACTGGCTCTTTAGATGGGATACAGATGCCTTAAATGTAACTCCATGGTCGACTTAAAGTTCTTCTTTTTTTCCTTCAAGTCTTGAGAATTGATATATAGAAAGTAAAGGAAATGTGTATTAAAAAACAGACATGCAAAAAATATGCTGTTTTTTCAGCACCACCCCACATGTAATTTTTTTCCTCTAAAATTACTTTGAGGATTTGTCTCTTATTTTTTGGCATGTAAATTTTGCCAGTTAAGAAAAGCTGTACTCTGTCATGAGGCAGGCATAGTGTAGGGAGCTCTGCCCTTTACTGTGGCATTGAAGTTCAGCATATCAGGCAGTTCAGAGATGCTAAATCAATAAATAACGCTTCACTTTTGTAAAGTGCACCTGAGAGAATATCTTACTATAACTTCAGCA